TTATGCCTATATTATCGTGGTTTTTATCTATGAATCGAAGCTCCTGTCGGAGACATTGAATTTTGAATAAATCCATTGAGTGTGCGGACTTACAGGTTTGACGTCCAATAAGATGGAAGACTTGGCGATGATGCCAGGCTTCTTGGCCTTCTTCTCTGCATACTCTTTCAACCTCTGCTCTTTGAGTTGCTCTGCCTCTTCATCATCTTCATCGCTACCAAACAAGTCAATATCGTCGTCCTCTTCCTCGTCTTTAACCGGGGCGCTGGTCTTCTGCTGGGCAGTAGTGCCCTGAACGGAGTGAGAATGATGAGTGAGAATATACTGGAGGTGAAATAAAACTGAAAGCACAAGATGAATGAACTCACATTTGTGTAGGGTGCTGACGGAGCGGTAGCAGGCGTTACAACTGCAGGAGCTTTCTCCAGAACGGACACTCGACAATCCAGTTTGGAAAGTGCCGCACTCAAGTCATCCACCACTAAAGAAACGGCACACAAACAGTCAATATGGAGTCTTACATGAAAAAAATACATCAGGAGAGAAGTAGTACAGTGTTATGTATTAATAAAAAACATATACAAAAATGTTTATATTTTGTACACGTTCCTGTTTTTTTTAAAAATATACATAACACTCTACAAGCATGATGTATTTTTCATTTAAATCATAACATATTCAAGATGCAAAACAAGATAGACAATGGCATTTAATAACATAAAAAGCCGATGAAAGACCCGGTGCTGAAACATTAATTTATAAGTATATACGGTATATAAAATCCTATAATTAACGTCAACAGACCAACCTTTGTATAAGCTGTGGTTCTCCAGCTCCAGGCTCTTGATGCGACAGATGATCTCTCCCTGATCAGCTGCACTGCTGATGCTCTGCACAGTAAAGACACAAAGGAAAGAAAGGAATCAGCACAGTTCTGTGAGAGCGACATCTGATGGCCAAGCTAAAACGGTAGTCCTTTCATCACACCCAGGACTATTAAGCAGACCGCATATGTGAACACGCAAAAAACCACAAGGTGTCCATCTCAGCAGAAACACAGGAGCCGTCGATGGAGCCTGACAGACATAGAAGTGATCGGCAGCCACATGTACCACACAAAACTATCATCAAAAAGCCGACTAAAGGTCTCACAAACTCAAACTGGAGCTTGGATGTCAAAGCGATTTGCAACAGAGGGGCTTCCAGGGACACACGAGGCGTGGCGGCACTTACAGGCTGGGACATTTGGCTCGGGGAAGGTTGACCAGACTCTCTGTTACACAGTGTAGTCTTCAGCTGGGGGAGGATTTAAAGCATGAAACCGGGAGGGAAGGTAATAAAGTACAATAGCCACTTAGGGGAAGTGCTGTGAGGAGTGTAAAACAGAAAGCAACCAAGGAAACGCTGTAGAGCTGAGAGGTTACGAAGGATAACACCAACATCTCAACACACTTGCTTATGTTTATCAGCAAAGCACACTATTGCTGAGCAATCAAAAAAAAGAGTGTGCCTTTTTATTCAAGTTTATCTTTTTCCATGTTTCATCAAATTTCGCCATACAATAGTGACACAAGCAGAAGAATGTTAATGCAACTGCAGGTTTTCTAAGCAGGTTGCGCCGATGGTAATGTTCAGTGAACATTGAGCAGTGGCAGATTAAATCCTTTTACAGCACAAATATATAGATACAGACTCCATGTAAAGGTGAGGTGCAGTTTGTCTAGCTCGTGGCTATGAGAGAGAAATAAATACAGGAACACAAACCAAATAGTCGTCACTGTTCGTGAAACGAAGTAAACCGTATCTTTACATGTGTCCTGTTACCCTGGAGATGTTAAAGCAATGTGCTGTATAGGTCAAGTGAGACCTTGACTGCTCAGGCTACATGCACCATGTCTGGGTGAAAGTGGAGAATGTGAGATAAGAGACCGATGCAGCACATGTACTCACTCCCGCTAGAGACTTCTGGATGTTCTCTCTGGCTCGGGCGATGTCTTGCAGAATGGTGTTAGCCCCGACGTCCTTAAAGAAAATGAATAGAAGTCAACTTTGATTCATCTTTTACTTTATAAAAAATAAATGTGAAATGAGTCTCTTTAGCTCCATTATTTAAATGTAGTGTTGTCACATGTATCGAAATATCGATACTGAATATTGTAAAGGTTTCAATACTCATTTTGCGTATTGATACACGGGTACCATCTGGTACACTGCCAGTTATTGTTCAATACAAATCTAAAATACAACTGCTGATCTAGCAAATTAAACATAACTCTTTCTGTGCATACAGACATGTCAGGAAATGTAATTTCGTGTAAAACAATAACAAAAACAAGCCAAACTAATGTAATAGTTTTGAAAAATGTAACCGGATTAGGGCCGAGTCATAGTTTGACCAGATATATTGATATCAATACACACTAATTCATTCTAGATTGATTGAGAATATTGTTGGTCCTGGTGGAAGATATAGAAATAAAGAATAAACACTAACAATGAACCTCTCAGACAGCGCGGGTACCTGCGATGGCTGTGAGGAGCCATCCGGCCGCTCGTAGAAGCGCCGCTCTGCTTCGTCATAGCGAGGTTTGTCAAACCAGATCTTCTCCTGGGCCAGAAAGTCCACTGAACTCATGGTGCTACAGAGGAGAGAGCAAGTAATACTAATTATTATTATTAGAATTAAAATCACCTGATGTGTGCTCTAAACTCACAATGATTTAATAGCTGTAAAGCATTAAATTATAGCTTATTGTACGTATTCTTTTATCTGCACTTCCCACAAACAAACCACCCCAACACAACTGTACAAAATAAACTTTAGATGAAGTTAAGTTGGCAAAAGGCAACAATGGTTCATACAAACACCATACAGAACGATTTCAAACAGACAAAAAGGAATAAAAGGATGAATGAAATAACAAGAAGTCAAAAGAAAAACGTTCACACATTCACACATTCACAAAAGAAAAAGGTAAAAACCATGATTACATAAAGAAAACAAAAATGAAATTTAAGAAAGAAACATCTGGAGCGACTCCATTCTCCCGCTTTGGTCATACTTGTCCCTCAGAGGGGCGGTGGAGGCAGCTGATGCTGCTTCTGGCCTCCGACCCTTCTTCCCCACCAGAGCTTCACTCTCATTGCAACCATGGAAGCGGCTCTCTGCAGCATCATACCGCCACTTGTCCAGCCACACCCGTTCGCTGTCTGGGTGAACGAAGTAGCAGACTCCCGCCCCCAACATTTCGTCCTTCTCTGGGACCTCGGACGGCTCCTCTTCCTCCTGAATAGGAAGCAGAGCATGGAAGATGTCTGCTTTACCCTGTGGGACCGCCCATTTTTCCTCCACCGCCAGTTCCTCATCTTCCTCCCCCTCCTCCTCCTCCTCTACAAGGCTTTGAGGGTGGTCGGTACTTCTGGAAGCGGAGGTGCAGCCGGACCGCTTGGAGGAATTGTTACCGTACAGATTCTGGTAGAAGGCGGCTTCGGCGCGGTCGTACAGCGGCTTCTCCAGCCACACGTCTCTCAGCAGCTCCACTGGGATGCGGGGCAGCCCGTTGATCGACTGACGACTGGTCGGCGTGACGGATGCTTGTTGGATGACGGGAGTTGCGGGTGTTGGGGCTAGAGACTGATACCCTTCATCGGGCGTTCTGGATGCAATGGAGCGGTCAGGCGGGGATAGGAGGTCAAGAGAGTTCGGAATCGGCGGCTGGACGGATTCTTCGACACGGTGTTGTTCTGCCTGGTCGACGGTCGTCTTGTTCACCCGCGCGGCCTGGACGACGTGGTGGCACGCCGGTCCTGAGGAAGATGGAGCCACAGTAGATTGAGAGTTTTTACCCGGGGCGGAAGGTGACCGGTTCGACTTGGTGGTCACGTTGGAAGAGCTCGCCAACCAGCACTGGTAGAGGCTCTCGGCTCGCTCGTAGATGCTGCGCTCGAGCCAAACATTAGCACGCTCGGACTGCAGGCCAATAAGCTCAGCGGGTGGATGGCTGGTCCTTTTGTCTGGCTTCTCTTCAGTCTTGGTCTTTACGTCAACCTTCCCATCAGGGCGACTCCCGGGATTGGATGAACGTTTCTTGCGGCGGCGACTTTTCCCGCCGCGCTTTCCGTCTCCATTCAAGCTGCTGCTCTCTGGGGACGACGGTGCGGCCTCTCCATTCCTTTGACCGCATTCAGCCTTGTTCCTGCACCCCGGCGCTGCGTTTGCAGGTCGGTCCACCTGACAATGACTGGGAGGCTGATCGACCTCCGACTGATCCAGTGCAGAGCACTGGGGGGTCTTCTTAGACATCATCTTTGATCCGTTGCGGGGGAAATAAAGAGAATCACAAAGTACAGACTTTTGGATTAGTTAGAGAGACGCAGGAATACACGAAGGGATTGATTTGATAGACTCCAGCGCTACAGATGAATTAGTGCCAAACACCTTTTTTCTTCTTCATAGAGCTGTATGAAACAGAGTCTACAAATCAATCACAGAGAAAAGCAAGGAGCATGCAGGAAACTGGAAGAAACCCATGCAGATGAACTAAAAATATTTAGTGAATGGAAGCTACTCGTTTGTGATTTGTCAAGAGTTAGAATCATCCACAAAGTCATGCACAGCAGACGCTAAATAGGTTCTACCCCAACTGGGACTGCTATGCTCGCATGGTGTAAACTCAATAGTGTAAGTACGGGGAAATGAACACTGCCGTTCATGCTTTGGAGTCCAAATGCCAGTTGGGTGTGAAGTTGGATAACTGTAGCCAAAAATACAAAACGCTAGTCTGAGTTGTAGTTTTTCCTGCCACACGATCATTTCCGAAAGTAATTTACTTTTGTAAACAAATCACTGTAAAAACCCAACATTGCTTATTGAGACATGACTTGGGGCGATCGCGTTCAACTACATTTGTGACATTAATTGCTACTACAATACATACGAAAAAAGGAGGCATGTCACCAGATGGGAAATTGAATTTATCATCTTTGTTTTAAGCTTTTGTGCTTTTTAAGTGATACAGTAGCTTTCTGCAGTGCAATTATAACACTAGTCCATGCATCATTATTATGCTCATCCTACAAGGGCATTTACCAAATGCATATTCAATGGATGTCCCTGTATAGTAATGCAGATAATGCAGCATCATTACATTAACAAAGGTCTCATGTCTAACCAACACTTCATGTGGAGACACTTGACAAATCTTGACACAGTGACATGGGAGCATGCAAAAAAGGGCATCATAAGTCTAAAGGCAAAAAATATTAACGAGTCATTGAATTAAAAGAGATGACATAAATCCCACTCCACCGATGGATCTGTGACAGACACACAACATGTCCATGCAAGCCAACTAATTCATTCAGTAGGTACTGAGGTTCAAATCACACATCGTGCAAGCCAATGCAGTTTTTTTTACGATGTTACATTCTTCTGTTACAAAACAGGAAATGCATTCCCTTAATGATTCAACATGTGTAATACTGATGAACACTAATACACCACTGGAATGGATTTTGGCAATATTTTGGAAAGGCATTTCCTGCTTAAAGGAATACGTCACCCTTAAAATCACCATATATATATA